GGTCGGGTTGCTTACCGGTTAGATCTTCCAGCAGAGCTCAGCAAGATCTACAACACCTTCCATGTTTCTCAGTTCCGGAAGTGCTTAGTGGATGATTCAGGAGTGGTACCCATTGAGGATATTCAGGTTGATGACGGCCTGAACTACATTGAGCGACCAGTAGCTATCCTTGACAGGAAGTCGAAGGATTTGAGGAGCAAGAGGGTGGAGTTGGTAAAGGTGCAATGGCAGCACCGCAAGGGCTCGGAGTGGACTTGGGAGCCCGGGGAGGAGATGAGGGAGCACTACCCAGAGTTGTTTTCAGACACAACAGGCTTCGAGGATGAAGTCTAAGACAAGTGGGGGAGAATTGTAACGCCTCGTTTCGGGTATGCATTTAACTTATTTATTTATTCATTTTGGAAGGGCTACTCGACGAGTTGGTGGCCCTAACTCGTCGAGTAGAAGACATATTATGTGCGAGTTTTAAGTAAACTACTCGACGAGTTGGAAGTTACGACTCGACGAGTAGGACAGCCAGGATAAAACCCTAATCTTTAGGGCTTGCATCCTATTTAAGCATTATATATTGCCTCCACCCCAGCCTCTATCACCCCCAAACCCTAATCTCGAAACCCTAATTAACCTTGAGTGATCTTGAGTTATTTTCTTGCCATTTTTGTGATTTAAAGTTAGAAGAAGGAAGCAAGGACTTGGAGTTTCAGGAGGAAGGCTGAAGATCCAGAGCTTAGGATTCATTTTTTTCTTGATAGAGGTATAAAGCTTATACCTTGGCTTCTATTCACTTAGATCTTCATTTGAGCTTGCATATTGTCACTTTAGGGCCATTTCTAAGGTCATTTCCGAGATTTAAACTCTTGTAGATGTAAGGACTTCAGATATGGGCACTATTGAGCTTTACAAGCTCAAAGTTGCCACATTTATTCAGCCATCACCCTATTTCGTGACTTAGACCTCCATTTTTAGCTTGTGATGGGTGTTTTAGCCTCATAACTCCATGCATGCACGTAAAGTTAGCAACTTTACGTGTAATGCTAGTTTAAGGAGTCCAAATCTGTGAGTTGGAGGCATTGGAATTGATTAGAATCGACTGTATGGATTTGACATTGGGGGACTCGATGAGTTGTTCATGCGACTCGATGAGTCGGGTCGTGGTCCCCTAACCTTTTCTGGTTTTGAGTGAACCCGTTGAGTCTATGAAGATGACTCGGCGAGTTGGGCATGATTATGACTCAGAAACTGAAGAACTCGACGAGTCCAAGGAAGGACTCGACGAGTTAAGTCGTTTTGTCCCGATTTTGTACAAGGTAGAACTCGACGAGTCTGTGAAGGGACTCGACGAGCTGACTCAGTTATCACAAGACTGGATAGCATAGAAATCGATGAGTTGGGTTGACTGGGAGTCAACCTTAACTTCGACTTTGACCCAAGCGTTGACTTTGACTAGGGGTAAAATGGTCATTTTACCCTAGGAAGAATTATCAGATTTTGATTAAGTGTTATTATGAAATTGCTAACCGGGGAATCGCCGGAGCAGCAGTCATAGATTTTCCACTTGAGTTTTCAGCAGTCAGCCTTACGAGGTGAGTTTTCTCCAGTAGGAACGGGTCTACGGCCACAATGCCAACCCGTTTAGATGTTAGTAGTTCTGGGCTACGGTCCGATGTCGGGCAGGGCCCGATGTAGGTTATATGCTTTCTGGATTATGATCCGATGTCGGGGCGGTCCCGAGGAACGTTTATGTATGCTTAATGTCTTTGTGATTCATGCATGTTATGTGTTATGTGTTCGGGGCTTCGGTCTGATACCGGGGTAAGCCCGATGTATGTATAGCTTATATGGTATGTGTTATGTGTTATGGGCTTTGGTACGATGTCGGGGCAAGCCTGATGTATGTATATGTTGTATGATACGTGTTATATGTGTCGGGCTTTGGTTCGATGTCGGGGCAAGCCCGATGTATGTTTAGTTTATATGTTATGTGTTATATGTTCCGGACCCCGATCCGATGTCGGGGCAAGCTCAATGTACGTTTATATGTTTATGATAATATGTTATGCTTACATGTTTATGTTATATGCTTATGAGATGTTGTATACTGGGGCAAGCCCGATGCCGGGGCAAGCCCAATGCCGGGCGGGCCCGATGCCAGACGTGGTCTGATGTCGGGGTAAGCCCGATACCGGGTAAGCCGATGCCGCGATTCATCCCGATGCAGCTGGGCGGAGTCCCAAAGATATGTTATTTGTTATGTGTATGGTATGTGGTAGTTTGGGGAGCTCACTAAGCTTCGTGATTACGTTTTTCAGTTTTGGTTTAAGGTACTTCCACTAGTAAAGGGAAGGGCTCAGGATGATCACATGACACACACAACAGCTTAGCCTGGGATTTTTACTCTGATATGTTATATGTGAATTTGGATACATTGATACTGGTTTTGATATGATGTTTTGGGATTGACACGACTTATGATTTTTATTCCTCAACAGTATTTTATGGTTTATTTAATAATTTAAAACTAAATTTTTGGACCGTATTTTTAAGATGTTTCACCATGTCTATGTATGGCCCCTAGATAAACCATATAATTGCTACTTCCTGCATATACAAGTTCCCTCATTGAAATCAATGATATTGTTCTTATTGTAGTCACATATATCATATTTGAGGTTCGAGATAAGACAAACAACCCAAGTCCCACAAACTTTATTCTCTTATCAATTGTTCTATCCATCCAATGGGTGATTGGACATTCAATTTACCCTGCAAAGAATAAAATCATTTTAGTTTTACAATGTCATAAAACTGATCTTCCTCTTTAAAAGAAGTTATTTAGATTTGACATTTTAATGTTGAAGATGTCATCTAGGGAAGTATGCCTTGCTTATTTTTGGGACCAATCTTGTCAAATATTTCACGTTCTTCGGGTCTAGTACAACCTAGTTGATCCATATTTTCTTTAAAATCTTACACTCTTTATGCTTTTAGAATGTCCAAAAATAATGTATGAGTTGTCTTATTTTTAACAGGTTTCATTCACAAGTAGATGATGACAACACATGCCATAATACTCATTTGTGAATAGCCTTTTAATGGCTAGGTCAATGGAAATAGCCTATCAAATATGATGTCTAATGTGTCATGTCATTGATGCATTAGTGTAGTTTCTCTAGAAAATGATATCCACATTAGACACTCTTATTAGATTAGAACCGATTCTCGGTTTTTTGTATCATGCGAAAACGGTCCGGGTACAACACTAGGTGAGCCTAGCCGGATCCGTGTACAAAATCGGTTTGGAGCGGAATTTTAAAAGAGGTATTATTTTAAAGCTACAATAGATTTTTATCTTTTTTTTTTTGTATTTTATTTTTTGTGAAAATTTTAGAATATGCATAATTCTTTCGTTTGAAAGCGGTTTGACATGCGTTTTTTTTTCCAACGTGTACGTAGTTTAGAGTTTGTACATGGATTTAGACTGTAATTTTGTTGTTTTTGATTTTATATTCAATGAATTAAAGTCTCTCGAAGCCGGGATATCAAACTTGAGATTTTTAAGCTTTTTCACTATTTTTGTATTTTGTATTTTGTGAAAAAAAAAACATATATGTCATTCGTTTGAAGTCATTTTGGCATGCGGTTTTTTGAAACATGTAGTTTAGAGTTAGTGCATGATTTTAAACTATAATTTTATCATTTTTACTTTTATATTCAATGACTTATACTACCCAAAGTCGGGATATCAAACTTGGATTTTTTTAGCTTTTCAACTTTTTTTTTTTTTTTTGTATTTTGTATTCTGTGAAAATTTTAAAACACGCATAAGTAATCATATATATATTTTTTTATCTAAAACGAACATTAAAACAAAAAATTGTATTTTTAATCTAAAACGAACAATCAAACTCAAAAACGTATTTATTTTAAACCTCGTAATAGATAAACTAACTTTAGCATAAAAAACTAACTTTCAGATAGGCTTCAATGATGAAAAGCAAAGTTTGATGCTATTATGGATAGTAAAATTTGTATTGTTATGTAAAATTGTTAGAATGGTTATATTGTTATATTAACTAACTATATATGTTTGTCTTTTCATTTTTTAGTTACAAAAGTTGCGAGAACAAATTGATAGAACAGAAAAATCTCAAATTTATATGAGAAATGTGATGGAAAAAAGGTAAACTGAAATTGAGTTGCAAATGCAACAAAGACAAGCTTAATTCGAACAACAATTGACTACCTACATGGAATCCATTAGTCAACCTAGTAATCCACCAAGTAACCCATCAAATAATCCTTAGTTTTATGTCGTAATGTATTAGACGATGTTAATTATAATGTTTATTTTTGAAAACCAATGTTTGTTGTAATGTTTTAAACACTTGGTAAGGTGTGCGACTATTTGTGGTTTAATGTAATGTGTTTTTTTCTCCTTTTTGGACAGAAAAAATGGATTTTTATTTAAAATTTGTATTGTGTTTTTTTTTTAAATCATATTAATGAAAATATATGTCACTAAAAACTAAAATAGTCCTTTGCAAATCCGTAGCCAAACGATCCGTCGATGAATCATTCAATATTGGTTAAAATGATTACGTCGGAAAATACCGTCTTTCAACGGTCGTTAATCCGTTGGAAAATATAGCCAAACTTGTTGAAAGTATATTCCATCGGTAATCCGTCGCAACTTCTATCAATATTCCGTCACAAAATAATTACCATGAGACTTTTTGTTTTTCCGATAGAAAAAATTTTGTCGGAATCCAAGGTTAAGATGGTAACGCTATTTAGTGACGGATTACCAACAAAATTAGTTTTTTTTTTTTTTTTTTTTTTTTTTTTTTTTTTGATGACGGTGATCGTTAATGAACAAATAGTTAAAATTGAAGTCTTACTAAAGTTATTATTCTTTTGGTATTGTTTTGTTTTGGATAGATATCACATATCATGAGTTATAAGTAAATTGAAGGTTTGAAATTATAAAAATACTTTATAATATTTTCCACAGAGAAATTCTCCACGAGAAATCCAAGGTCCAAACGCGTTTCCGCGCGCTTTCGTATCTTCTTCCTAGATCTTCCGCTCAATACCCAATTTGGTTCTGTATATAAATTACACTTAAATTCCACCTAACTGAGATACATCTTCTTCTTGCCGGAGATATAGCTGCAACGTACTCTGTTACAGAGACTCACAGTAGAGTAATGGCGGACTTGAACGGAGGAGGAGCTCAGTACACTGATTTTCCGGCGGTGCCGACATATGGAGGCCAGTTCGTTCGCTATAACATATTCAGTAATGAATTCGAAGTCACTGCAAAATACGTTCCTCCTATTATGCCTATTGGCCGTGGTGCTTACGGAATTGTCTGGTATGTTTTCTTTTTGGCTATCTGTGTTTTCTTTTTATAATTAGGGTTAACGTTTCTGACTTAATTTTTCTTTTGTTGGTTGTGTTATGAATATGATCAGCTCCATGCTGAATTCGGAGACGAATGAGATGGTTGCTATGAAGAAGATTATGAATGCTTTTGATAATTACATGGATGCTAAGAGAACCCTTCGTGAGATCAAGCTTCTTAGACACTTGGATCATGAGAATGTGAGTTTTTGTTTCTTTATGCACGGATTCTTTTTCTTTTTGATCCGAAATTTCAAACCCATAAAAGGCGTCTCAAAATTTGACTTTACAGAGTTTTTTTTTTTACCTTTACAACCATTGTTGATTGGAATTTGACTGTAATATAATACAGGTAATAGCTTTAAAAGATGTAGTTCCTCCACCTGTATGCACAGAGTTCTCAGATGTCTACATAGCCATCGAGCTAATGGATACTGATCTTCACCAAATCATTAGGTCAAATCAAAATCTCTCCGAAGAACATTGCCAAGTATCTATTCTGAATTCTGATCGATTCATAAATACCTTACAAAAAAGCACATTAGAAGCTAATGATCTAACCATATCGTTTTTTTTACCATACTTGCAGTACTTCTTGTATCAACTATTACGAGGCTTAAAATACATTCACTCTGCTAAAGTCATTCACAGAGACCTGAAACCTAGCAATTTGTTGTTGAATGCAAATTGTGATTTAAAGATCTGTGATTTTGGACTTGCAAGACCAAATGCAGATAATGACTTTATGACTGAATATGTTGTGACAAGATGGTATAGAGCACCTGAGCTGCTACTCAACTCTTCAGACTATTCAGCTGCCATTGATGTCTGGTCTGTTGGCTGCATCTACATGGAGCTCATGAACAGAAAGCCTTTGTTTCCTGGTAAAGATCATGTGCATCAGATGCGACTATTAACAGAGGTATATAATATAATAATAATAATAATAATAATAATAATAATAATAGTAATTACGATCATACTTAATAACTAATCATTTCTAATGACATGATTTTTTTTTTCTTTAGCTTTTAGGCACACCTTCTGAATCTGATCTTGGGTTTATCAAGAACGAAGATGCAAAAAGATATATTGCTCAGCTTCCACGACATCCTCGTAAATCATTGCTGAATACTTTCCCTCATGTTCATCCATCAGCCATTGATCTGGTTGAGAGGATGTTAACATTTGATCCAACCAAACGTATCACAGGTAAATACCATTTCCCAAAGTCAAAGTCAAACAATCACAGTCAGAGCTAAAACTTGTCTGTTAATTGCAGTTGAAGAGGCACTAGAGCACCCTTACCTCGAAAGATTACACGATGTAGAAGATGAACCAATTTGTCCGAATCCATTCTCATTTGATTTTGAGCAACAAGTTTTAGGAGAACAACAAATCAAGGAATTGATCTACCAGGAGGCATTAGCACACAATCCGGAGTATGCTTAAAAGGAAAAAATAAATAAAAAATCATCGGTAAATTGTTTGATAGAGTTTATGTGTGTACTAAATAAATTTGTTAAATTTATTCCGTAGTGATCAGAAACATGTAATTGGAACTGCAAAGATGTTGTATAATTAATCTAGACAAGTTGCAGATCTGTAGAGTTTTTGACCATCATATCTTTTGTACCATAACATTACTTCTTATAAAGTTAATTTTTTTCGAGTTTTATTGGTTAGAATGTTGTCATTGTACAAGACTACAAATAAACAATCTAGAGTAGATTGTGTAGCAAGTTTACGTGGGGAAGAAAGGTGTGGGGAACATAGACATCCAAAAACACCAAGATGAGAGAAAAGGGGAGTTTTTTGGTATAGTTTTCCACCCAAAATGTAGGAGGAAGACGCGCTTGGAAAAGGAGAATACGAATAATGTTGTTTATGGTTCGAATCATGCGTTCCGACTTCCTGTTTTGTTGAGAGGTACGGAGACACGAAAAACGAAATATGATGTCGTTTATGGTTCGAAGATGTGCTTGTAATATTTTATGCCACTTGTGTTAGGTATAAGAGATTCCCACAAGTCATAATGAACAATTTCAAAGCATTTAGAAACATTGGAGTTGGAACTAATCAAAGGTAATTTATTTTCCAAACTCACAAGCAAAACAATTGACATTTAAAGATGTCTTGTTACAAGAAATCAAATGACTAGAAACAAGTTTATTGAAAACATGAGTTGGAACTAGAAATCAAACTCACAAGCATTTAGAAACATTGGAGTTGGAACTAATCAAAGGTAATTTATTTTCCAAACTCACAAGCAAAACAATTGACATTTAAAGATGTCTTGTTACAAGAAATCAAATGACTAGAAACAAGTTTATTGAAAACATGAGTTCCAGGGTGACCAAGGCGTTGATGACATAAGGATGAGCTGACATTAAGAAGAGCAACAGAGGATTGGAGATCTGATGTTGCAAGGTATAAGTCACCAGAGCTACACCTAAGTAGAACTTGATGAGTTTTCAAATCCTTCACAGAAAAGCCAAAGATCAAATTCAATGGATACTTTATTATCAGAAGTAAAGCGACAAATAAAGATTAAATTTTTAATAATATTAGGTGTGACAAGAATATTGTGAAGATGTAAAGGGCGATGAGTTGAGTGAATTTGTGAGTGACCGATATGGGTAACGAGAATGGAGTGACCATTGCCAACAAGAACAAACTAATATATATTACTATTATTGCTAACAGACAAGAGTCTACCTGAGTCAGAGGCGGGGTGAGATGTTGCTCCAGTGTCAATGTACCAAGTGGCATCAGCTCCATCAGTGACTCACATTAAGTTAAATGCTTGAGCTAAATCAGTTGGTTGATCTTAAGACATTTGAGGGAACAATTGCCAAGGGGGTTGAAGTGATGGAGTAGAAGAGACATGATAAGCTTGATCATGATGGGTTTGAGCCAAAAGAACATCCTATGTGCTCATGCAAACCCTAAAGCTTGGATCTAGGTTTCTTTATTGTACATGCAATACATCCAAGACTTATGAACCCTAGATCTATCATACATATTTCGAAATTAACATAAGAAATCAGATCTAGATGATTACCTCTTCTACAATGGCTTGAATCTTCTTGTCTTGGAGCTTAGAGTCACAAATGTCACTCCTCTAATGGCTTACAAACACCACAAGCAAGAGGATGCTAATTGAGAGAGAGAGAGAGAGAGAGAGGATGGGCACAATTTCGGCTATGAAGGCTCTTAGGGTTTCCAGTGCCGAAATCTGATGCCCTAGGGTCTTATTTATACTTGTGATGCTAGGGTTTCAATCAAAACCCTAATGGACAACTTAGGCCTTAAGCAATCCAAAGAAGCTTCTGGAATAGGGCCCTTATGGCCGAAATTAGGACGGACACACCCCTAATTTCGTCCAAGCCTAGTCCATAAGCCTTCTCAGCCCAATACTCAACTATCACCCATTTGACAGTTTAAGCCCCCGTTATTTAATTAATGTCTTTTAGCCACATAATTAATTCTTAATTAATTATTGTCTAATATTAATTAAACTATATGATTTCTCCTTTAATATATTATTCATATAATATATATTAATAAACCATAATAACCTCTCTCTTCATAAATCATCCTGTCAAGTTGCTCTGGTGAAGGCAACCCAAAAGGACCATGCACAACCGGGTCAAGTATATACCAAATATAGTTACGGGCTTAGACACTAATCCAACAGTCTCCCACTTGGATAAGTCTAGTAACTATAGTGTAAGTACACTCCGATTAGCAATCGTAGCTCTCGAAGACGCTGTCGAACTCTGATCTTATCAGCAACCTGTCCTTTAGATAAGGGATCATATATTCCTCCATTCTAGATATTGTATAGACATGAGACATGGACTATAATCATTCTCTCTGTCTATGTGCTGTTTCCCGATTTTTGATTTCTGATAACTGACAACAGACTACAATTGAACACATCAACTTAGTCCCGGCTTGGCCAAACGATTAGGGCGTCATCACTAAATCATCGAGGGGCCCATAGATATCGCTTTTATCCCACTTTGGGTAAAAGGAATGGATAAACTTTGACTCAATGCTCGCTTGTACCTACTCATCAAATCACACACAACAATATGTTTTTATAACACCAAGTTACTGGTGCGTTTACATATTATCAATGTACAACCGACTTGCAGAATACAACTCACACATCTCGGTTTCAAGAATATAAGATATTATCGTCTCACTAATCACCCGTGATAAAATCCATGAAGTGATTCAAGTGAGCGTGGGTTTAATCCAATGCTAAAATCTTATTCATAAGCACTCATGAACGTTGCAGCAAACTTTTGCTATGTCTAATACACTTTAGACAATCTACAAACCAATTCATGACAATCTTCTTTCATACCTACTTCCAAAGTATGAGCGACTATGGGACATTCGAACAATCTTATTATTCGGGAAGTCAAAACATGCAAAGTGAAACACAAGAATAAGTGAATCCAATATGACCCCAAACTTTTGAGTATAAATAAAACTCCTTTTATTTAGTCACCATATTGATTACACATTATTCATTGTATAATGTTTCGGGTAATCAACTTATTCCTTGAATTATAACAACAGTTGCTCCAAGCATGCACACTATGTTTACCTATGGTCCTTACTTTGTGAAACAGATCAACTGAACACATTCCCAATGATACTCATTTCACAATTCCCAATCCTTATCATTAGTGTAAGAATACCAAATTCTTGCCACTATTAAAATATGTTAGATTCTAACATTTTATGCAATTATCCTTTTGTAATCTTATTGCACAAAAGTCACCAAGACTTTTCCAATGAAATTACAAAGTTCTCTATTGGAGATTGCTACAAGGCAATTCCATAGATATGAAGTCTCACATTCAAAGTACATTCTGTTGAACATCCTTCTCGCATAAAAGTTTCTAATCTAGACATGGATTCTCAATATCCAACTCCCAATATGGAAACATTTCCATATTTGCCATATGACAACTCATTATTAATAGAATCATATCTAATCATAATAATGTCATTATGGTCCATTTATTACTATACTTCCAACTGCTCACAAGCGACCAATCCTTAGCGAACCTTAGATTGTCCTTGACAGTTGTTTAGTTATTTTAGTCAAATCCGGTTCTAGTCCTTTGTCCCTCTTAATGCCCTAGGCATTTGGAAAATTTAGAACGGTCAAATATTACAGCATATGCAATCGATCCTATACCCGGAGCGTATGGGACACGATTCATAATGAAAAAACATGATACTTTACCAGTTTCTTGCTATAATATTGCCATATATAGAATTCCTTTTATGTTGAATCTTTTCAACATAACATCCATATATGTCCTTCGACTAAATTCAATTAAAATTTCTCGATCTAAGCTTTTAGATTTCGAAACGAAGTATAATATTCTCTCCCTTAATTATAGTAAAACAACTTTTTAACCCCTACAACTTTGCAAAGTGAACCTTTTGTTTTCTATAATTAATATTGCTAAACTTGCAATACTTAAAATAATAATCATGCTCCCACTAACATGATAATTATATCCATACCAGCATAACATTTATGCTCCTACTAGCTTTGACACGTATTCAGAAAACATTTGGACTTCTAGAAAACAATAGTTATTGACTTCCAAAGTTCATATTTCTAATACGATATTGATAAGCCTTTATCTAAGCCTCTCAAACTCATACACCTTCCCTTCGATAGTTCATATGTGTGTCTAAACAATTTCAGCACTTATAGCAATAAGTCTTAAATGTTTAAACTAATTGCCAAATCTCACAATTCGAACTATGAAGAGGGATGTCGTAATCATAATCGAATTTGAGAATGCATTTTACACAATCGCTATCTCCTTAAAATCTTCTCTTAGTGAAAGCGTTTCCTCACAATCATTTTCATGAAGGAGAGAAACCTTATGACACTTAGATTTTATGGTGTATGTGTTCGTATCTATGTGAATTTTGTCATAACCATAATCGTAAGATAATGTTTGTGACAAATCCAAGCTCTTATGGACAAAACTTGTTCATTCCTAATTTCTTTCCATCAAGGGTCCCACCATTGCTTCCAAGTTATTCAGCAGCTCACCTATACTAGTCAATGTACTTTCATTGAACAAGGTGCTTGCCTTTATGCAGTCTATTGGGAACTCGCAGAACTCATATGCACAAGTAACTCTACTGGAATGGAACAGAAACAAGAATATGTCAACACGATAAGTTACAAACCTCAAGTCGTGTGCTAGTGTCTAATAGATTTATCCTTGATTAGTTCTTGAACCTTTTCAAGATCATTTAGACTCCCACTGACCTCTTGACATATAAGATTCTCTTGTCAAGAAACATTTCTTGACAAACAAATATTCAAGAGTTAGTGCAGATTCTTATCAAGACAAACCACCATACACAATTGGTCTTAGTTGGTCTTTGTCTTATCCAAGACATCACAATTTACCAATTTGAAACGTGCAAGAGTAAGAAAAACATTTTCTACTCAACATTTGATGAGTGTGTTAGAACTTATTAAGATATGTCACTCACGTCACAAT